GGTATTGTAAACTGTGTTTGTGGCTGTGTTTCTGTGAATGTTGAAGCTCGTTTTCTGTTTCTACTGTGGCTTTTTGAGTATGCGAAGAGTTCTGCAGTCGATAGTGGATGGAAAATATCGAAATAAACCTGTCTCCTTTTCTTCGTGTGCAGATTTGTATATTTAGCTGCCAGAAGGCTTTCTAGGAACAAGGCGAGTGTAAGGTGGCTTGTTTGGATAGGGAGGGGGGGAGAAAAAAAATAGAGAAAAGCAATTTATTTCTGCTGCATGTCTGAACGAACCATCGCAAATCTGATTTGAGAAGGGACGAACTCGTGTGTCCTCAGTGTCAGGTTTTGTGAGACCACTGCTGTCTGCTGAACAGGGATATTTTGCAGAGATGTTTAATTGCTCTGGGAAGAGGCGAGAGGCACATTTGCGTTTTGGGGAAATGTTCCTGCTCCCCCCTCCCCCCCCCCATGATCCAGAGATAAGAATCAAGTAGCTGCGCCTCGGTGCGCTGAAATTTCCACCGCTTCAATTCCCCTTGAAAGGGGTAAAAAAAAAATATCTTCCACATCTTCCACTCGATCAGAAACCAGACTTTCAGTGTTTAAGATCATTCCTCAGAAAGATTTTTTTTGTTGTTTTTTGATTTTTATTTTTTTTTTAATGCCTAGACTTTCTCTCGTAAAACTTTCCATCATGAAGTAGCTCCTCGGAGGCTTCGAAATTTAACCGTTCTGCTGCCGGAGGGAGCGAAGTGGAACCAAACTTCACCCTGTGTCAAAGCCCCTGATCTCCCTCCTCGGAACTCAGTTAAGAAAAGCAGTTTCGGAGACATTTTGAGCTGTGGGGGGGGAAAGTCGGTGGCAGCAGGATGATTTCTCTAAACCTGGTTTTAGGAATCATAATTAGAAAAAAATGGTAGAGGGATGAAAATACTTATTTAGCTGTGTTTAGGCTGGGCAGTCGAAATTTTCAGCTTAGTTTGATTCTTCTCAAGGATGGACGAATTTCAAATCTGCTTCGTGCTGAGTTGATATGTTCCTCATATGTCGAACTGAGTTTGGACTTGCCTAAATCCTCATCACTGTATTTTTCAGAAGCGTATCCGTGACTTAACTGATGTTTGCAGCCCATCGGCCAGTAGGATTTAGAAACGTTTTTCACTTTCCTTAGAATTGTGGTAAAGAGCAGCTATTTTTAAGACGACGATATAAGGTTCTTTTTAAATAGAATTTAAAATGTTAGTTCATTTTATTAGAAAATATGCTTACTTAAAAAATGTTGGAAAAACTGTCTTCTGTAGCATCAGCCCGGATGTATTTTGCAGAGATGTTTAATGCTCCAGAATAAAAATCGATTTTAGAACAACAGCACCGATATGTCATTGTGTTATACTGCTTCATCTAAAACTTCGGAAATATTCTCGTTGCGTTTCCCTCCGTTCTTTAGTGGCTCGTTAAGCGTATTACAAGAGTCAATTTTTGCTTAGGTTAAAAAAAAAATGTCCAAAGACAAATGGAAATAATTCCTCTCCGGTGTAGTGAGCGCTTACTCGGTCCCACGCAAACTTGCTGCGTTTCTAAATATTTTTTTGTTTCTTATTCTAAAATTGGAGGTCCTTAATCTCTGTTTACTTTTACCGGTGGTTGCTTGTTCGATTGCTTGTTTGCTCGTTAATTTGTTTGATTCCGAGAGTTTCATCTTTGCGTTCACGCATCAGTCTTGGGGAACCAGAAGCGAAGAAGCAGAGCGGACTGGATTTATCTGACCTTCCTGGGTTTATTCCCCGACCGCCCAAGGAAAACTTCGCTAAAGCAAAATTAGAAACCCAAAACAAACAGTGGGAAACCTCACCCCGCTTTCCCTGCTTGGCATCACCTCGGATTTGACACGCGGTTCCTTTTTCCGAGAGCTCAATGAGCGGTTCCTATAATTCGGGCTCTAAATTCGTTTGACGTTTTATTGCTCGTGAAGAAATACAAGCGCTTGGAAAGTGTTTCTATCTCTATATTTAAAAAACAAACAAACCCTAAGACCTGCTCAGCCCTGCAGGAAGCAGGTAGCGAGAAATATAACCAAGAATCTCTTTCCACTAATTTTTAACATAATGGGGGCTCTAAAGGGCAATATTTCACTTCTTAAAAAAATCCTTTCTTTGGGGCAGCTCTGAAAAGAAAACAAAAGAAGGAAGATATTTGGAGCTTACTGGGGGAAGAGAGAGAAAGGGAAGTAACTTGTCATAAAAAAAAAAGGAAAATTCAGTGCAGTGTGCTGCAATAAAAGAATATGACCGCTATAAAACTTTATAGGGTATAAATTTCTGAAGGTTAAGGAACTAAACGGCTGTAAAGCAAACAGTGCAAGAAAACTTTCAGGAACTCCTAAATTACTACAACGACTTGGGAATGTGGGGAAACCCAACGTGTAAATGTTCTTATTTCTGCTTCAGTCACATACAAAGTTCTTCTCTCCTATCCTCACCCCCCCTCCTCCATGGGAAGGGGTAGTTAAAAAATAAGGGGGGGAGAGAAGGAGAGAAAAGGTGGGGAGGGACCTTTGGCTAATTTATTCTTCTCTTGCAGATGCCGTGAAAATCCAGCGCTCTGGATGATTCCCTTTGTTCTTTCTTTTTTCTTTTCTTTTTATTTTTTTTCCTTTTTCCTTTAAAGCAATTCCAGGCTGCCAGAATGCGGAGCCGTGCCCACAACAACAACAACACCACACACACACACACACACACACACACACACAGGGGCACCCCAGCGCTCACACACTCGAAGCTCTGGCGAGACGTCTGGGCTCGGGAAGCTCTTTATCGCTTTACAGCTCCGGCCTTCCCCCTCCAAGAGCAGAATGACCGATTGTTTAGTCTCGGAATTTGAAACAATAGCGGTTTTCAAAAGCAAACCCGGTTTATTGCCCGGGGGGAGAGCGGCTGGATGGCGGAGCTTCCCGCGCCTCAAACTTCAGCGCTGCGGGGCAGGGAGGAACAACGCCATTTTCCCTTTGCTCCCCCTTTTTCCCCCCTCGCTTTCCCCTGTTTTATTCCCCCAGGTCCAAGAGGGAGACCCCCTTTTTCTGCCCCCCTCAAACCCAAAGGAAACCTCCCCCCCGACC